TTATTCAAATCTTTGTTCTCCTATGTGCAAAAAGTGTTTACTTTTTGTTGCTTTTAAATCTTTTCATTACATTTGGTTTCATCAACTTGATTATGATGTGCCTGGGTGTGGTTTTCATTTTAGGAGGGTGGGGGCTTGCTGTGCCAGTAGATAGGCTTTAAATAGTTTTATGTAAATGTACATAAATTTGTTTTTGACCAGATATTTGGAAGTTTTCAGCTATTATTTCTTCAAAGTATTTTTTTTTTTTTTGACCAGTAAGGGGATCGCACCCCTCGGCACAGTGTAGTCTGCACCAAGCTCAGCCAGTGAGCGCACCGGCCATCCCTATATAGGATCCGAACCTGCGGGCTCGGTGCTACAAGCACCGCACCCACCCGAGTGAGCCACGGGGCCGGCCCTCTTCAAAGTTTCAGCCAGTGAGCGCACCGGCCATCCCTATATAGGATCCGAACCTGCGGCCTCAGTGCTACAAGCACCGCACCCACCCGAGTGAGCCACGGGGCCGGCCCTCTTCAAAGTTTTTTTCTACCGATCTTTCTTCTCTTCTTTGGGATTCCTAAGACTTGAACATTAGACTTTTTGATATTGTTCACAGATCCCCAAAGCTCTGTTCATTTTTTCCACTTTTTTCTCTGTTAAGACTAGATAATTTCTGCTGATGTATCTTCAGATTCACTGACTTCTCCCTCTGTCATCTCTTTTCTGTTGTTGAGACACACTACACCCCCAGTAATTTTTTGTTGTTGTATTTTCAGTTCTAAAGTTTTCATTTGGTTCTTTTTATAGTTTCTATGCTAAAGACTTTTATCCTTTTCCATTCATTTCAATAGTGTTTATCCTTGCTTTGGGGAGAATGATTAAAATAGCTAGTTTTAAGAACTTTTCTGATAATTCTGACATTTGGGTAACCTCAGAACTGACTTTTGTTCATTGTTTTTTCCCTTGAGAGTTGTTTAGGTTTTTTTAGATTTCCCTAGTTCTTCATATATCAACTAATTTTGGATTGCTTCCTGAATATTTTGAGTATTATGAGACACTCTTTCTTGTTTAAATCTTCATAAGAATGTTTTTGTTTTGTCTTAGCAGACAGTTCACTTAGTTTCAGACCACACACACTGGCCAGCTTTTGGTGGGCTGTGGTTTCAATGTTAATTTAGTTTTCAGTGCCTTTGTGGAGCTATTCTAGTCTGCCCAATTGTGCACCACCCAGTGACCAGTCTGAAATCTGGACAGTGACCTACAATGTAGTTTGGTGTTCAGAACCTTTGCTTTGCTGCTCCTGGTCAGTTTCACACATGCATAGCGTGGGATTGATCCCAGGATTCCATAGAGATTTAACCTTTTCTTCAGTTCCCTCCTATTTTAGGTTCCAGGTCCCCATTCTTGTTTTTTGACTAGCAAGTCAGGGCTTTATCCTTTGTATGCTGTTGCCAGTATTCTGCCCAGCAGTGTCTGCCACCACTGCACCAGTGGGGGGAGAGAGGGTGCTGCCTTTTGCCTTTTGCTGTTGCTAGAGTGATGTAAAGCAAGAAAAGTCCACAAGGCTCCACCTCATTACACATGGTTCTACTGGTGGGAAGGAAGGAGTGCTGCCTCTTTTCTGAGGCTTTCCTAGAATGGCACAAGTAAATTCAAGTGTTCTGTTCCACAGCTTCCAACCCCCTTTCTGGTGCTGTGACTAGTGAGAGCAAACTGTTCCTTGGACTCTTTCTGTGTCAGCTAGCAGTTCCAGTTTTCCTGTTAAGTGTCTGTGTATGGATTTCTTTTTATTTATTCTGTTTGGGATTTATCTAATAGAATCCCTGGAGTAATGTCTTTTAACAGTTTTGAAAATTCTGTATCACATCTACAAATATTTGCTTAGTCCTATTCCTCTCTCTCCTCCTGCAGCTAATAATTTAGAATTTCTCACTGTATCCTCTGTATGAGCGGACTTCAAAAGGTTCCTGGAAAAATGGAATCAAAAGATAAAAATAAAAAATACAAACTTCATTTCTCAACACAACTGTCATCAAGTTCAAGACACTTTTGTAAGCAATGATACCATCCATTTAGTCTTTCCCTAAAGAACTGAGGGTTCTGGGAATTTAACCATGTCAATGCAGTCATGTTTACATTATTAACTCAAGAAAAATGGGTGTCTTTTAAAGATTTTTTCAGAATAGGAAACAAAAAGAGGGTAGGAGGAGCCAAATCAGGACTGTAAGGTTGATGCCTAATGATTTCCCATTGAAACTCTCAATAGATTGTCCTTGTTTAATGAGGAATGAGCAGGAGCAGTGTTGTGGTAGAGGACTTGCTGGTGAAGCTTTCCCAGGGTTTTTATCTGACAGCTTTGAGATTTGATGCCTGCCCTGCTGGATTTCAGATTTGCTTAGGACCTGTCACCCCATTCTTTTGGCCTGTTTCTCCCTTTTTGGAAAGGAAATATGTACCCTATGCTTGTCTTGCCATTGTATCTTAGAAGTAGATAACTTGTTGGATTTCACAGATACTTTGGACTTTTGAGCTAAAACAAGTTAATACTTTAGGGATGCAATGAATGTATTTATGTGGGAGAAGGACATGAACTTTTGGAGCCATGGGCAGAATGCTGTGGGTCAGATGTGTCTCCCAAAAGGTCATGTATTGGAAACTTAATCTCCATTTTAACAGTGTTAAGAGGGGGGAAATCCAATTATAGTATGTGAAAGGTGGAGCCTTTAAAAATGATTAGATTGTGAAGGTTGTGCCCTTGTGAATGGATTGATCCATTCATGGAGTAATGGGCGTGGTTCTGATGGCCTTACAAGGAGAGCAAGTGAGGACGTTAGCTCTCTTGCTTAGCCCATTCTTGCCACATGACACCCTGGTCTCCATAAGCCCCTGTAAAGAGTTCCCACCCAGAAGAAGTCCCTCACTAGATGTGTTCCCTGGACTTTGGACTTCCCTGCCTCTGAAATTATAAGAAATAAATTTCATTTTTTTATAAATTACCCAGTGTCAAGTAATCTGTTATAGGCAACAGAGACAGACTAATACAGTACCATCAAGTGGAAAGGTTGCTTACTGTAATTTATCAAAATTGTGTAAGTTGAAGCAATCAAGATGTCCGTCTATGGTGTTGGCTATTGTTTCTGCTGTTAATTGTTGGTCCTCTTCAATTAGGGCCTGAACAAGATGAATCTTTTCCTCCCAAATTGATGTGAATGGTCTTCACTGCTGGCTTCATCTTCAATGTCATCTCAACCCTCAAATGGGTCATCCAGTTAAACTGATTTCTTTGGGGCACTGTCCCCATTAACTTTTCATAAAGCATCAATGATTTCAACATTCTTCCACCCAAGCTTCACCATAAACTTGATGTTTGTTCTAGCTTCAATTTTAGCAAAATTCATATCGTTCTGTTAGGGGCTCTTTTCATACTGATGTCTTATTCTTCCTAGTGCCTCAAAAACTAGATCCTTGAGCCGGCCCGGTGGTGCACTGCTACAGTGCGCCGCTTGGGAGCGCGGTGGCGCTCCCACCGAGGGTTCGGATCCCACATAGGGATGGCCGGTTCGCTCACTGGCTGAGCGAGGTGCGGGAGCAACACCGAGGGTTGCGATCCCGTTGCCGGTCCCGGTCCGGTATGGGCGCGACACTGACGGTTGTGAACCGCTGCCGGTCACGAAAAAAAACAAAAAGAAAAAAAAAAAAAACAAAAACTAGATCCTTGAGCCGGCCCGGTGGTGCACTGCTACAGTGCGCCGCTTGGGAGCGCGGTGGCGCTCCCACCGAGGGTTCGGATCCCACATACAGACCGGCCGCTCACTGGCTGAGCGAGGTGCGGGAGCAACACCGAGGGTTGCGATCCCGTTGCCGGTCCCGGTCCGGTATGGGCGCGACACTGACGGTTGTGAACCGCTGCCGGTCACGAAAAAAGACAAAAAGGAAAAAAAAAAAAAAAAAAAACTAGATCCTGTTCAGACATGTTATATAACCAGTTTGTATGAGTTTATTTTGGTGCAAAAAATTTTTGCAGTCCATTCATAGTTTTTTTATAGCACACATTCTGGATAACTTCTTTTGGTTATTGTTCAGTTTATAAATTTTCCCCATTGGCTGTGTACTGTTCTGCCATTAAACCTATGTACTGAGTTTTGAAGTTCAGTTTTTACATATTCTTGCAGTGTTTGTATTCAGTTCTTTTTCAAATTAGCTCCATCACTTTTTATGGTTTCCCATTTTTTTGCAGATACCTTCACACCTCACTTTATTTCTTTAAACACAAAAAACAAAAACCTAATACCTAAGTCTACATAAGTTGTTTTAATTATTTCTACTAATTCTTGCCTTTGGAATCTAGCTTCCTTGTATGCCTACTTAGGTTTTTTACTGTGTATTAACAGAGATTATATATGAAAAGTAATTTGAGGCCTATGATGAAAATACTTTTGGAGAGGATTTACATTTTATTTTTCCTGGCATCTAGAGGCATCACCAGTGTGGGAACATCTTAAAGCAAGTTCAGTGTTTAAGATTCTTTGGATGATTTAGGCAGTTCTAAAATTGGCTACTATTTATAGGTTCCTCCTCTTCTGGTTCATCATCATCCTAAAGGTGAAACCCTTTGGAAGTCAGCCTATTGTGGGGAAGGTCTCCTGTAAAGATTCACCACTTTAAGTGGGGCCTGAACTTTGACTTCTGTCACCCTCACTCCATAAGGTTGTAACAATAAGGGTCCATGCTCACCTTCTCTTTTGGACTGGGCATTCTCTATTCTCTTAAATTCTTTGATGTTTAATATACTTTTTGTATTTTAATCAGCTTTGGTTGTTTTCAGCAGGAGCATGGATCTAAATATCCTAGTATGTGATTTCTGGAAATAGGATGTTTCCCACAATTGCATCTTTATTCCTACATGGCCAAATTTTACTTTTCCTGTTGGCATTCTCTGCACTTAACACATGCCATTACTTGGGGCATGGAATCCATAAATGTTGATAAGAAATGTCTAATTCTGTCAGAACAATTAATCATTTTTAGCAATTTTTACTTAGAAACCTAACAAAGTGCTCTGCACATAGCAAGTCACAATAACACACAAAGTTTGTTGGACAGCTGCAGAAAACAAATGGGCTAGATTTTACTTCCTATTTCAAAATTCAGAGAAAGAGTAGCATTAAAAGGCATAAGACCAAAAATAGATCATTGCAGACTGAATACAGAGAGCCATTCTATTTCTTCACCCTTAAAAAAACTAAAATTTCCAATTAAGTACCAATGTGAAGAACATGACCAAACAATTAACAAATGCATCCAGAAACATATTATACATCTACAAAGAATACAGTACTTTAAAATGTGCCTCCAAAATTTAGGCACATAATTCTAATTTTTATTGAATGTAGAGACTTTACGAAAACAAATACAAATCTATCCCATCATGGAAGAGTCTTCACCATTTGGTTATTTTAAGGTAAGTTCAGTATTCATAGATTGTGCAATTACTTGCATTGCAAATTAAACACACTATATAAAGAAAAAATAAATTGAGTTTGATATTCAATCATTTTTATCTTATACCATTTCATAAATTTCACAAGTTATTACATGTTGCCATTTTATTTAATATCTGCAGCATTTTACATTGTTTATGAAGTAGCTATTTCCAGAAGACTGATATTCTCCTCCAAACTGTGTCTTTGGATAGTACTACAAATGTGATTCAGTAGGAAGCATATGCCCAAATGGATTAAAATTCTTGGTCTCTCCTAGCTTGAGACCTCAGGTCCTGAGTTATAACCTTGACTCGATCTTCAAGCTGAGATGCTTCATATTTTTCTTAAAACAGGGCTACTTAGTGTAGTTTCTTTTTCTTGACATATATGAGTGTTTTTGATACAAAAAATATATATTCCATGTAAGAATAAATAATGCATTTAAATAATGATTAGATTTTATATAACTTAAATGACACGACTACAATACAGGACTAAAATATGCCCTTTACCTTTTTTTTTTTGCTGTTTGAAGAGGAAAGCTCTGTTACAGTTTCAAATACATAGACTTTAACTTGTTAATACCCTGTTATAAAAAATAACTACCATATAAAGAATTAAAAATATGCAAAAGTAATTAGTTCATTAAAAATTTATACTTAATACATTGGAGAGAATGAAAATGTGCAGAATTGATTGAAGTGGATGTAAAAAAAGAACCTGTTTCAGGCTTCATTTATTGCTACATAATGACTACTTCAAGAGTCATCTGGCCTGTTCTTAATTACTCCTAGAAGTAGTAAATATAGTGGTATACTCTGGAAGGAAAGGAGGAAAAATAATGCAGTGATACAAAAATATTACTTATTTATAAATTATTAAAGATTTATAAAACACATACGAAATCATATGTTCTTGCTATAAAAACAATATTCTTAAATATAGAAGCACAAAATCCTGAAGCACCCATGATTATTTTAAGAATACCCATTTAATCAGGAAAAATGATATATATATATATATAAATAAAATAATTTGAGAAGAAAAAAGGCAAAATTCTGATTTTAATCCAAGTAATCAGAGTTTATCTAATCATGGAGGTAGGTCTCCAGTCCAATTATACAAATGTTATTGGCTTTATTCAAAGATTTAAAAGTCTAAGATCTTGAAACTGGTCTGTGCCACTGAAGTAAATTTTAACAGATTTTAGAAACCAGTATTCCAACTTGCATATACACAAAACAGATATTTCCTTCATGAGGTTACATCTGAAAAGAGCCTTTATTAAAACTGTTCTTGGCATAAAGAGGTATACCTAAGTGCAGGTACTTTGGCTTAGCATTTAAATAACATAGTAAATCCTACAAATTTTTAAAGGCAGAAGAAATCCTTGTCTTTTTAGTACTTGTATTAAGTGTAAAGCTTCAAAAACTGTGGATTTCTTAAATTTTTAGATATTTAAATATTGTGCTAATGACTTAAAAAGATCACTCCTGCCTAAAAAGCAAAGCTTACATATTTGAAACATCAAACATTTATTTTTAGTGTTCATGGCATTTCAGCTTTAGTGCTGGAGTTTTAACAAATCAGCTTGCAGTATGTAATATGTCACATATACTTTTGCTAAAAAAGATTTTCCATAATGAAAAATACTAATTCTATTTCCAATGGTAAACTAGAGTTGGAGGTCCCACTGTGGATCACAGGTATCAGAGCACTATCGAGATCATTTAGATAATGCTGAGGCAGAAGGTGGCCTTCAGATCCTGCCTGAAATTCAACCTGGAAAAAGAATATCTTGATCAGACAATCCTAGAAAATGAGCAATCTTGTTTAGCTCAGCAGATGAATACAAAATAATTAAAATATTTTAAAATACCATTCAATTTAAGCATGTTAATAAAATATTTGATACATTATTTGAAAAAAAGTTCTACATTTTCCTATATTTATTTTATCCATCTACTATATAAATTATCATTGTCCCTCCCACAGATATCATAAAAATGAAATTTCTACTACTTCATACTTTAGGATTCCTCTCAGTGAACATATAAACACATTGCAGGCCTGAGGTTTTGAATAATTATCAACACCAATTAAATAAAAAAATGCATGGTATTAAAAAAAACTAAAAAATGGACCGGCCCGTGGCTCACTCGGGTGAGTGTGGTTCTGATAACGCCAAGGCCATGGGTTCGGATCCCATATAGGGATGGCCGGTTAGCTCACTGGGTGAGCATGGTGCTGACAACACCAAGTCAAGGGTTAAGATTCCCTTACCGGTCATCTTTTAAAAAAAAAAACTAAAAAAACACAAAAATATTTCATATTTGTTATTGCAATAATATTTAATATTAGAATTTAATATTGATGGTGAAAATTACATTTTAATACATTTGACTAAAAAAGAAAACAGTGCTTACTCAAATAACAAATAATTATCAGGCGCTTCCTTGAAAAGGGTGCTTTTAATAGAATAAAAACCATTTTCCTCTTTCCAATAAGAACTATCAGTATAACATCCTGGCTGGAAAAAAACAAACCTTTAGCATATGAACTCACCCAGGCTTAGATTAACCTTTCTAATGAAGAATCTGCTTTGAAAATCTATATTGTATGTGGGAAACAGTTATAAAATAAATATTCCTAACAGATATGAACTGAAAGTTCAAAGAAAAAAAAAATGGCCCTCAAGGGTTTGGGTCCCCATATACCGGCCAGCTGCAACAACAACAACAACAACAACAAAAAGGCCCTTACTTGTAAAATGATTATTACTCATTGTTAAAAGAAATGCATATTAAAATAATACTGGGGTATCATTTTTCACCTATCAAACTGTCAAAAGTTCAAAAGTTTGATTACATAATGCTTTGATAAGGATGTAGGGGAAAGAGCTCTCTCATAAACTGCTGATGGAAATATAAATTGGCACAACCTCTATTTGGGGCAATATGGTAAAATCTAATAAGTACATAACTCAGACCTGGCAATTCTACTTCTAGGAATTTTTCTTATGGATATACTCACACATACAAAAGCAAAATATTGTAGACAACGTAAATGTCAATCAACACATATCAAATATGCATGAAGTAGTAGTAGTATGGTACCTTTATATAATCAACTACTACTACGCAACTGTGAAAAGGAATATGTACTAATACGTAATATCTCTAAGATATATTAAGTTAAGCATGGTAAAAAAAATAGTGTAAAAGAGAGAGGATGAAAAGGACACACATTTATTTACTTGTACATACATAAAAATCATAGAGAATACATAAGAAATGAGTAACACTGATTGCTTGACCAGAGAGGGAAGATGAGGGGGAGTATAGAGGTGAACTAAAGGGTTAGGAGTCAAGGGTAGGAAGATGATCTTTCCAGGGCTCTTCCCTTACACAACTCTACTGGGAACCACTTACATTGTAGTCTAGAGTTAATATCTCCAGGGAATACAGTGTGAATGCTGCTCTCTGGAAATGTTCAGTGAGGTAGTCCTGTTATATGAGTACACTTCAAAATGTTTGTGGAAAAATGCACTTATAATATGAATCCTTCCATGAACTTTTTGAAGTATCTTTATATATACACTTTTAGGCTTTGTAAATTTTAAATCATGTAAATATAGAATCTAGTCAGAAAAAGCAAATAAAAAAACCTACCTATCAGGCTAGTCATGGAGCAGGGGTCAGCAAACTATGGCCTGCAGGCCAAAATTGGCCCTGCTGGTAAACAAACTTTCCCTGGAACACAGCCACACTCGTTTGTTTACATACTGTCAATGGCTGCTTTCCCACTGTAATGGCAGAGTTGAGTAGTTGTGAAAGAAACCATACAGCCTACAATGCCTAAAATATTTACAGTCTGGCCTTTTATAAAAAAAAACTTTGCTGACCCCTGTTATGGAGATTAATAGGAATAATGTGTGCAAAGTGTGTAGCATACATTTGATGTTCAACAAATTTTAGTTTCCTTCTTACATCCCAAAATAAGAGGTTACAAAAAGAAGAGAAACTATTGATTATTTTAATATATGATACATTCATTTCAAAAATACATCATAAAAACATGCCTCACCATATCAGTGTCAATGGAAACTCTGAGTCCAATTTTATTCATCCCATTACACTTTAGAGTTTTCAGGTGAGGGCACAGAGCAGCACTACAAGCCATGGCTATTTCTTTTGCAAACTGATAACGAGTTGATAAAATAGTTAAGTCCTGATCCTTTAGAAAGTAGAACACCTGAAATGTATTTATTTAGGAAGCAAGTCATGATTAAGATTAAAAATAAGTTTAAAAACACAATTACTGCTTTCAATTCAATTTTAATAAATTTCTAATGTTAGTACCACGAAAATCACTAGTTGAGAGCATTCTATATCTATAGCCTGATCCATACTATAAATAAAAACTTCAAAGGTTATGATATTTGAGAATGGCTAGGCTCTTTTTGACTGAAGTTAACTTACAGTAATGAAAGCCTTATTAACTTAAGTTTAGAGAAGGTACTAATGAGTCCACCCTTATAAGGACATCTATATGAAGTTAAGATCAAATAATTTTCTATAATTTCTATATTCTCTATTGTTTCTATCTTGTACATGCATAAAATCACAAAGAATATATGAGAAATGGAAAACACTAATTGCCTGACCAGGGAGGGTGAGAATGAGGGAGAATAAGGAGCTAGACTAAAGGGTTGAGAATCTATAGTTATATACTTTCACATCCTCTTATTTTTAAAAATAATTAGAACATGCAAAAATAACTTTTATATGTGAATGCTGATTATAAATTATGTCAAAATATTTTTTGTAAAATAAGGAAAATGAAAATAATATGGTCAAATAACATATTACAATACAAAGATGGCAATGCTGCCAGAACTTAATTGTACCACCATAGGATAGCCTGAAATAAGGCTGTGGAAATCCAAATCCGGTGTATAAGAGACAGTCAGGGGTGGCAATATGTGTGTGTCTCAAAGTGTAACGTAAAAAGTGTAATCTACATTTAAACATTCAGAGGTTGAGTATCCATGATCCCCAAGTTCAACTAATAAAAAAAAATCCAAACACACCACGTAAAGGGACAGGACCTTTTCTCTCAGTTACCTCAGTACACTTTACACTCTTCTCATCATTTTCAAAATCTGCTTCCAGTTTTATTTTTTCACTTGGAAATCCCTGTAATGATATTCCATCCACTGAACTGATAACACTATGAATAAAACATAATACAACAGAATTATTACTAAAGTGCTTTTTTTTTTTTTCTCCCTTTTTGTCTTTTTTCGTGACTGGTAACGGGATCGCAACCCTCAGTGTCACGCCCGTACCGCGACCGGCAACGGGATTGCAACCCTCAGTGTTGCGCCCGCACCGCGCTCAACCAGTGAGCGGACCGGTCTCTATATGGGATCCGAACCCTCGGCGGGAGCGCCGCTGCACTCCCAAGCGCCACCGGGCCGGCCCACCAAAGTGCTTTTTATGAGATGAATTATTACATTTGAACAAATGGAATGAGGAAAAAAATTATGAAAGTTCTAAATTTAAAGCAGCAACAAGTATCTCAGTTACATACAAAATAAATCTGTAGTTCATAGTCATTTATCAAGATTTCTTAATTGTGTAGTAATCTTTTTTTTTGTTCATCAATAAATTGTATCTCCTTTTTCATATGCTCAATTCAGACCTGAGGTTTAGAATACCTAAGCTAGTGTCCTAAAAGAAAAGCTGTCTTATGAATTCAAAAACTCTATTTTGGAATTTTTCAGCATTAGTCCTCTTCCTTCTTTGCTCCAGATCCCTTAGTCAATCTCCAAAAAAGAAAGAAAACGGGTAACTGAAAAGGAGAAGTGGCAGTAATAATTTGTAAAGCCTCTAATGTATATTACTAAATCCATTTTGTATTTATAGTGAATCAAAATAATTCGGAATCATACCAAACTGTCTTGCCTTTGTCAGCCCTGGCATCAAGCCCACACTACTACACAGTGGATGTTTTACTATTGGCCCCCTCCCAAGTTAACCATCCTTTTATAATTTATAGCATTCTGGCCAAGAAAACACTCATGAGGCAGTTAGGTACATATTTGAAAAAACAGACTGCATCTATTAATTGGAGCATAAGCATTTGAATTAATGGTATAATTCAATATGCATTCATAAAATAATTTTATTAACAGGGTGTTTTTATCCTTCCCCCTCCATCAAATCAATTACATTTTAGTAACAAAAAATTCCTACCCTTTGTTTCTTTTTTCTTCAGAATCTACCCAGCAAATTTCCACAGATTCTGTAGGGTCTACTGCATCAACTTTCCCACATGTAATTTTAAAGTCTTTTTGCTCTCGTAGAGCTAGCCGCAAGCCATCCATGGTCTCTGGAGTTATTTGTACCATTAAGCCATCTAGAAATGAGAGTTATGTTTCACATTTCTTTTGCTAATTATCAGTTTGTATGTCTAAACCATAAAATTTACTATCAAAATATATTCTGTGCAAGATGTAAGCTTTAAATCTGTTAATAATCTTAATGGTTGTTTTCCACTAAGAAATAAAAATATTTCACAAAGTTAAAGATTCTTTTTTTTTAAAAGGTTAAATAAAGATTACAATTTCTGCTTTTGGCTATGATAAAATAACTTTGCCCTTTCTTTTTTTTTTTTGTCTTTTTTCCGTGTCCGGCAACGGATCGCAACCCTCAGTGTCGCCCCCGTACCGGACCGGGACCGGCAACGGGATCGCAACCCTCGGTGTTGCCCCCGCGCCTCGCTCAGCCAGTGAGCGGGAACCGGTCTGTATGTGGGATCCGAACCCTCGGCGGGAGCGCCGCCGCGCTTCCCAATCGGCGCACTAGCGCAGTACGCCACTGGGCTGGCCCAACTTTGCCCTTTCTGACAACCAACCATAAAATTAGACAAAATGCATGAGGTTTTCAGGTACTGGGCAATAGGCAGTGCAATACTGAGGTCCCTAGAGTTAATCTCAAGAGATAAGCCCACAATAGCCAGGCAGTCTGCCAGGGGACAATTTCCTCATGATGACCCACTAAGACTACAGTGGCTCTATTGGGCTGAAAACCCAGAGTTTGATGGAGCCTAGAATCTGAGGTCAAGATACTGAAGAGGAGGTCATCAGAAGATTGTAAGACTTTTGAGTCCCTGGATTAGAACTGGAGACACATTAACAGAGTGAGACTAGACAAGGCCAAACATAGAACAGCTGTTACAGTGTTGAGAACAGAACAGAGAGAATAGAGGTCAAACAATGTGGGGGATACTAGTGGTCTGGACCAACCAAAGTTGAGAGACCTTATTAACCCCTTATTAAGAAGCACTGTAGCAAAGCCAAAACAAAGCCATTACAAAATTTACAGGTGTAGTGGATTGAGTTATGTACCCCCCAAACTCACTGAAGCTTGAATTGTCTCCCAAGTTTTATATATTAGAAACTTAGCCCCCACTGTGACTGTTAAGAGGGTGGGAAATCCTATTTTGATAATCAGAAGGTGGAGCCCTGAAGAGGTATTGGATTGTAGGACCATGCAGTAGGGAACAGATTAAAAATGGTGGTCAGGGGTGTGGTCCTGAGGGCTTTAAAAGAAGAGGGAGGAGAGTCTGTCTTTCTCTCTCTCTGCTCTCTCTACCTCCACCATCTTGCAATGTGAGATCCCTGAATCACTGTCACTACCACCACATGGACTTTGCACTTCCCAGCCTCAGAAACTGTAAGCAATAAATTTCATTTTCTTTATAAATTACCCAGTCTCAGGTATTCTGTTATAGCAACACAAAACGGACTAAGACAACAGACAAAGCAGGTCTGAAGACTGAGTCCTGCCAAATTAAAGGGGATTGGTAAACACCTTAGGATTTCCACAGATCCATCTTAGCAAAGTGAAAAATTAAGTCTACACAAGCTTAAGATGATCAACCATGAAAATGTCTGCTACAACATGAAACTTCTTCAGCAAAAGCTAATAAAATCTAGTCTCTAAAACATATCAATAATGACAAATACACAATAAAAAGTTACTAGACAGAAACAGGACAGTGTGACCCTTAGGCAACTGAAACCAACCCTGAGATGACCAATTAAGCACAAAAACATTTTAAAATAGCTATTATAAACATATTCAAAGACCTAAAGGAAACATATTCAAAGAATAGAAAGCAAATATGGGCTAAATGAATAAACAGATAATAAATCTTAACAGAGAAATAGAAACTGGAAAAAAAATTCTACAACTAAAAAATGCAATCTGCCTGTAATTGATACCTCAATGGATAGCTCCAGTGGTAGACTGAAGATGCCCAAAGAAAGAATCAGAGAGTATGAAGAAAGAACAATAAAAATTATCCAATCTGAAGGACAAAAAGATTGAAGAAAAATGAAGAGCATCAAGGACCTGTGGGATGATACGCACACACACACTCCCCACACCCCCAGAGTCCCAGAAGGAAAAGAGAGATTGGAATAGAAAAGAATAATGGTTACAAATTCCCCAAATTTGAAGGAAAAATTTTTTTCCTTTTTTTCTTATTTTTGGTGGCTGGCCAGTATGGGGTTCTGAACCCTTGATTGTGCTCTAACCAACTGAGCTAACCTACCAGCCTTGATGAAAAATATTGACTCATATATCTGAGAAGCTCAATAAATAACGAGTGGGATAAGTGCAAAGACAACCATCTAGGTACACTACAATTAAGCCAGTAAAAACCAAAGATAAAGAGAATATCTTAAAAACAGACTGCATAAAGGGGTACATTAAATACAGAAAAACAAATATAGAATTATTGCTGACTCCTCATTAGAAACTTTGGAGGCCACAGGTTCCTCAAAAACTTAAAAATATAACTACCACATTATCCAGCAATTCTACTTCTGAGTATTTATCCAAAAGAATTGAAATCAGGATCTGAAAAAGATATTATTCCAATGTTCATTGCAGCATTCTTCACAAGAGCAAAGAAATAGAAACAAGCTAAATGTCCATTGGCAGAGAAACAGAAGAAAATGTGGTATATACATACAGTGAAATACTATTCAGCCTTAAAAAATATGGAAACTCTGCAATATGGACAATATGGATGAACCTTAAGGACATTATGCTAAGTAAAATAATCCAGTCACAGAAGACAAATACTGCAGGATCTCATTTATATGAGGTACATAGTCAAACAGAACCAATAGTAGAAAGCTGGTAGCCAGGGGCTGGAAGAAGGGGCAAATGGGGTGCTGCTAATGAACAGGCATAAAGTTTCAGTAAAGCAAGATGAATATGCTGTAGAGACCTACTATACAATGTGGTACCAATCATCCACAATAATGTATTATACTCTTAAAAATGTGTTAAGAGGGTAGATCTCATGTTAAATCTTCTTATCACAACAAAATAGAATTTAAAAAAAAAGAAAAGAAACAATGGAGGTCAGAAGACAAACAGCATCTTTAAGATACTAAAAGAGAATAAAAACTTTCAAAGCAGAATTCTATATCTAGCAAAAATCGTTTGAAAATGAGAATGAAACAAAGACAGGTTGAGATAATGAAAGCAAGCATTTGTACTGCAAAAAATGCTAACAGACTTCCAGTTTCTGCTCCAATATGTAAAGAGCTTGGAAGTCCCATCCTCACAACAACAATGAAAAAGCTGAACAAACTGATAACAAACAAGTTAGATGCATTCTTAGGTGCATCAAAAACCTGAGGTTAGGGGCCGGCCCGGTGGCGCACTGGAGAGTGTGCTGCTTGGGAGCGCGGCGGCGTTCCCGCCGAGGGTTCGGATCCCATGTGGAGACCGGTTCCCGCTCGCTGGCTGAGCGCGGTGCGGGCACAACACCGAGGGTTGCGATCCCGTTACCGGTCAGTAAAAAAAGACAAAAAAGGAAAAAACAAACAAACAAAAAACCTGAGGTTATAGGGCAAGTTGCTGCCATGAAAACTGGAGCAAAATCAAGACCAACAATAAAAAACGACAACAATAGTAAAATACAAAAAAAAAAAAGGTCTGGAAGATGTGTGATAACAAATAAGAAATATAATTGGGTATTTCACATTCCATCATCAGAACAACAGATATGGCACATAGAAATCATAAAGCTCACTTCTTTTTAAAAGGTATTAATTGACAAACATGGGTCTAGACAGGAGTGTTTATGATCACTACTTCTATTGTATTAGGAGTGCTAACCATTATCCAAGAGGAATAAAAAGCATAAGGATTGGGAAGAAAAAAGCAAAATTACCATTACTATTAGAGGATATAATTAGCTACACAGAAAAATCTAAAAGAATCTAGAAATAATTATACATAAGAGTTTAGCAATGTAGCTGGTTATAAGATAAAAATACAGAAATAAATGTATTACTATACACCAATAGATAAAAAATTTAGTTTTAAAAAAAGATACCATTTACATCAGCTATAAAATCCATAAGGTATAGGAATAAATCAAGATATGCAAGGCCTGAAACAGAAATCTATAAATTTTATTGAATTAGAATGACCTATAGTATTCCATGTACTGAAAATAAAAAATATGCCCATTTTCTCAAAATTAAACTAATGATTTAATGCAATCCCAATAAAAATTCCAGTGGACCTTCTGTAAATCTGACAAGTTTATCCTAAAATTAATATGGAAAATCAAAGGGTTTAGACTGGCCAGGAACTCTTGAAAAGAATAAGGCATGTATGACATTAGGGATGAAAGGGGTTCCTATAAAGCTAGATAGTATGGGGAATGACATTACTGAAAGTGACCAGATTAAGAACCTCTGAAAATACTTTCCCCCCCAAAAAGGAATGAGGAAACTGACAGAAAGTATCAGAAGCAATTCTTTCAGAACTCTGGAAATTGACCAAAAGCTTACAGCAATCTGAAGATTGTTTATTAAATAATGAATCTTTTAAAAAAATTTTGACACATCTTACTTTATTCAGATAGCAGTTTGGTCACACATGGCCCATGAACACTCAAAAAAATCAAATATAATCAGATGTTAAAGATTGGTCTTCAAACATTATAGCCAGTGATACCACACTTGCCTATGATCTCTCTGATACAAAATGACATCTACACCTCAGTGGCCACCAAACCATGCAGCATAGCTTTCTTAACTGTGAGCTGTATAAAGCTACCAGTTTGAGCACTATTTACTACTTTTTTCAGGCTCTGAATAGCTGTAGAGATCTCAGTAGCATTTAGAGGAGGCAGTGCAATCTCGGCATAGTACCAAAATGTGGCCAATCAAGGTTTTGAGTAAGTCACAGCAGCATTAACCAGTGCTGGGGCCTTCTCTGTGAGGTTATAGACAAACTGACCCATGGTTCTAGAATGGAAAGCCTGCTGCCATGAACAGCTGGAAGCCTGACTCTTGATAAGAATAGCGAGCTCGCCCTATT